CCCAGGCCTGCCCAGCAACCTCTGGGTGGGATGGTCTCCTAGGAACCCAGGACCTCGCTGTGCTTCCAGGAGGAAGCCGGGTCCCAAGGGATCAGATAATGTGTAACATAAACTAATCTAGGGAGCAGGGGAGGAAGCAACTTCTCAGCCGAGTCTCGACAGAGGTGTAGGAGTGCGATGGGCGACCCAGGGGCTGGGGAGCCTGCGGTACAGTGTTCCAGGCAGAGGGAGCATCATCACAGCGATAGCTGACACATCCTGAGCCCTGCCTACATGCCAGGTACTGTGAAGCAGGCTCTTCTGTCGTCCCCACTTTATGAAACTTACAGAAGTTCAGTAACTTGCCCGAGGTCATGCAAGCAGTAAGTGGCTGAGCTGTGGTTTCAAATCCAAGCAGTCTGATGCCAAAGGCTCGATCTTCACCACTTAGACTAACCCGGAGCTGAGAGGAGCAGGGCTTTTGGAGAACCACAAGCAGTTTATTTTGGCTGGAACGTAGCATGTGAAGGGGAAGGTGGTACAACAAGAGGCTAGCGAGAGAGAGACAGCGCAGAGACCCACAGCCATGTGACTGCTTGGAGGCAGCGAGTCTGGATGTGGGGAGATCATTTCAGAGCCTGTTTCAGTGGTTTCAGAAATGATGTCAGGCTAGGAAGATGGTGGTAAGAATGAAGAACAATGGCAGGACTCAGGGGTTCTCCAGGAAGAATGGCCAGGACTTGGCGATTGCTGAGAGATGGAGAATTTGCGAGAAAGAGGGAGGAGTCAAGAACGACTCTCAGGTTTCTGGCTTGAGAAACTAGACCGATGGGTCCCAACCCTATTTCTTTCACTGATTTGCTGTATATCCTTGGGGATCTCGCCCAGGCTCTCTAGCTGTCTGTCTTCCTGGCTATAAAATGAAGATAATGAAACCTGACCTCCCCATGTATCTGATGGTGTCAAGATAAGATGAAGTCATCAATCTGGAAGTGCTTCGGAAAGTCAAAAGTACTTTGCAAATGCAAGTGTTTATTATTTTATGGTTGTCTATGGTTATCAGTAAGGTCCTCCCTCTCCTGGGGCTTGCAGATGGAGCCAGACTGAAAGGCAGCCCAGGGGAGCTGCCCGCTCCCTCGGAGCAGTCGCAGTATTTTCCATCAGGCAGATCTGTCTCAGTGGCAGGTGGGAGCCACATACCCACGTACTAAATTGTTAATAGCTTCCCCAGGGAGTTCCTTTCTGCTCTGACTCCTTCAGCGATTTCTGTTTCTCCACTGCTGACGCCTGCGGATGCCCTGGGTCGGCCCAGGATTTCCCAGCGGTTTTTGTTTTTGTTTTTTTTTTAACCTGAAGTCAAGGATGGGGACAAGCCCCAAGCAAAACCAAACCCAGGCATGGAGGGCTGTGTCTACTCTGCTCCATCAAGAGCAGGGATGGACTCAAGAATCCCCCGAGCTCCCAGGAACTCATCGCCCTCCAAAGTGGGGAAACTGCTGAGCAGAGACAAGAGCCATGGGTTCTTGTGTTTTGGGGGTGACTTTCTGGGTTTTGCTCTGAGAGGCAGCATAGTGTGGTAGTCAGGAGACTGGCTTTTCTAGTCGCAGGGACCTGGCTTGGCATCCCAGCTCTGGCTCGGGCAGCTGAACCAATCTCTGCAGAATGGAATAATAGCAGTAGAACCTCAGGCCTGTGCGGCTGCTGAAGATTAGATGAGATCATGCACGAAGCGCTTGGCCCAGTGCCTGGCACAGAGCAAGCTCGCTGTAAATGGCAGCCAACGGGATTGTTTATGAGTTGTCACCTTAGAAATCAGACTGACTTTTAAAGACAAATAGAGTAGAATGCTCCCATCCAAGTAAGAGTAGATCTCTTCAAAGTACTCACTGTGGGAGGCCACTGGGGAAACCCTTTTAGATGCCTTTCAAGTTTCCATGCATTCCTCCAATGTCCTCAAGGAAGGCAATTCACATGCACTTGGCATGTGTATTAGTCAGTTTGGACAGCCATAACAAAGTCCCCTAGACTGAGTGGCTTATAAACAACAGAAATTTATTCCTCCCAGTTCTGTGGCTGGAAGTCTGAGATCAGGGCAGCATGGTCAGGTTCTGGTGAGAACCCTCTTCCCTGTTGCTGACCACTACCTTCTTGTTGCCTTCTCACATGACAGAGCAGAGACAGCAAGCAAACTCTTACAAGGGGCGGTCTATAATGACAGCATGTACATTTTCTTAGCAACGATCTCACTCATGGACTTGGTCATCTACATGTCTTCTCCAGCTGCTTGATTGTGAGCTCCTTTAAGAGAGCAATGGTCTTACTCAGTCTCGTGGTTCGGTAACTCATGCTCGTGCAGCCTTTCTCAGCTGCACCAACCCTGCACCTCTCCACTTTAGAGATGAGAAAACTAAGGCTCAGAGAAGTTGAGGATCTCTTTTTCTGTCTTTTGCCTCCACTATAGCTATGACTTTCCACCAAGCATTTCCATACCCAGGAGGAACTCCAGAAACATCATGGATTGCAATTTTTAAAAGTTCCCTTCTGCCCAGTACGACTGGAGGACGTGACTGGGGTGAGGAGAGGGGATGGAGAAGGAAGAAGGCAGCCATAACTCCTGGTCGGGACCAGATTGGGGAGAGCCCCAAATGCACCGCCAAGGAGAGAGGGTAGACTTGCTTGGTGACAGCCAAAAGCCAAAGGGGTGGGGGTGAAGCTGGGAACTAGTATTTCAGTTCCAAATAAGATGTGATTACAGAGTTTATGCAAAAAGGTTTTAGGTGCTTAAAAGAATCCCTGGGTTCTATACTAATCAATATCTGCTCTGTTTCCTTCTTCAAAACGGGAGCTCACCTAAGTTGGAATTGAGCCTCTTTTTCCATCACTCATTGAGCATCATGGACTGTGGTAAGCGGGGGGACAAGTGCACAAGGGGTATAGAAGTGCACAAGACCTATTGCAAAGGTGATGCACAAAAACCCAGGGATTACACAAATAAATACATGAGGAATTCTGTAAAGAAGTGGTGCATGGCGCTATCAGAACAAATAACAGGGGCATCTGGTCCAGTTGGTGGAGGGAGGGGCAGTCAGTGAAGCTTTCATGGAGGAAGTGCTATTTAAGCTGAAACTTGAAGGATGAATAGCCTTGAGCCTGGGGAAGTGGCTGAGCCTTCTAAGTGGAAGAGAGTGTGCAAGTGTCCTGAGGTAGGAAAAAAATAGGGTTGTTGGAGGGGGTCAGAACTCTAATAAAGTAGCCCTGCTTCCTGTCCAATTCCTCCCCACCCCCACCCCTGCACCAGAAAAATCTCTGAATAGGCCCTTTGGGACAGGAGAGAGTGCTTTGGCATCACATGTGACCACAGAGCAAAAGTCGCCTGTCTGATGAGTCCTTAGATGGCTGAGTGGGAAAGCCTTGGGGTGGGGAGTCTGCTATAGCTGGTAAAGGGGCTCGGATAGAAGCTGGGAGGGGCAAAGAGAATGGGGAGGAAGGTGAACTTGGGAAACCCGGCTTTGTTCTTTCCGGGAAAGTGTAAGAGCCTTGCACATAGATGGAGGACTCAAGTCAGAGAGTGATATGAGGGAGGGGTCCTTGCCCAGCCATGCTCAAGGCCAAGAGCATCACCCCAGAGCCTAGAGCTCGGGAACCCCAATGCTGGTCCATTCCATTCTCCCCTGGGGCCTTTATTTATCCAACCAGTATTTCCTGAGCGCCCACTGTGACCCCAGCCCTCTACCAGGTGCAGGGGGCAACCAGGCCTGGCCTCCCCAGGGAGGAAACAACCTCAGATAGAAATAATTTCCATCTGGGATAATTTAGTGCCTAGCCGAGTCTTCTCGTCTGCAAAACGGGGATACTGACAATAGAACGTGCTCCAAAGTGCTGACGCCGGGATAAAGCAGTTATCACAGCGCCTGCAGCAGAGTAAGGGTTGGTAGAGAGAGTGTTCTGGGAAGGACAGGAGCCCCAGGATGGAGGATGGCTCTTGGTCTAGGCTGGTCAGGCTCGGGAGAGGGTGTGGGAAGTGCTCCCCTTCCATCTGCTCCTAGGCAGCCAGAGTGATCCTTAAGGTGGTCTCTGAGACCCTGCCGGCCCCCTCATCCCATTCTTCCCACACTGCTCCCTGCTTCTCGTCTTCCCCGCCTCCCTTTAGTCCCTCTGACCACAAAGTCTTCGCACATGTGGTTCCTTTGGAATGCTCTTTTCTTGTTTCTTCCCTGAGTTAGTTCCTCCCCAAACTTCACCTTTCGCTCTCCTCGGTGTGTAACTCTGCCTTCATGAGTGTGGTCTTAGGACAGATGTCTCTCCTCCACGGGGCTGAAAGCCCCAGGAAGCAGGGGCTGCATCCAGCTCTGTGCACTAGCGGATCCCCGGGAGTACCTGGCTCTTCTCTTTGGTACCCAAAAAATATCTACTGAGTGAATGAGTGGGGTGCAAGAAAACTATGGATAATAACGGTTATTTTCGGAACACTTTACTGTGTGCCCAGCCCTGAGCTACGTTCTTCACTCGCATCTTTTTATTTAATCTCCCCAACAACCCTGTGAGGGAGGTGGTGCCATTATCCTCCTTTTACAGAAGAGGAAAATGAAGTTGAGAGAGGTTAAGGGACCTGCTCAAGGTCATCTGTTCGTTAGCGCAGAGGCGAGAGGCAGGATTCCCATCCAGATTCTTGTCACTCCAGAGCGGCCAAGAGGTGGGGAGGCGAGTCGCGGCCGGGGTAGGGTGGGGGTGCACCCGAGCCTGCGGAGCATCCCTCGGAGGGAGAGGGAAGCCTCCGGCCCAGCTCCGAGCCGGTGGTGCAGCGCCCGCCCCCGGTCGCGGGCGCAGACTGGCGGCCGCCTCCGGGCCACGTGGTGCGCGCGGCGGGCGCGTCCGAGGAGCCGGCAGCGGCTCCCGGCTCAGAGCGCTCCGGGGCAGGAGAGCGGGCGGGCGCCGGGCGCGGGGCCGGGGCGGGCGGCGAGGCAGGCGGAGGCGGCGCGGGGGAAGCGCGGCGGCCGGGGGCTGCAGTTGGCGGCGTCGGGGCCACGGCCTCGGGCCTCGGCGCGCCGTTCGCACCAGGTCTCTGCGCCCAGGGCGCACGGTGGGGAGGGACGCCCCTGGCCACCATGGAGTCGGCCCCCTCCACTGATGCCGAGCTGCAGCCCCCGCTCCTCGCCAACGCGTCGGACGCCTTCCCCAGCGTCTTCCCCAGCGCGGGCGCCAATGCGTCGGGGCCGCCGGGCGCACGGAGCGCCTCGTCCCTCGCCCTGGCCATCGCCATCACTGCGCTCTATTCGGCCGTGTGCGCCGTGGGGCTGCTGGGCAACGTGCTTGTCATGTTCGGCATCGTCCGGTGAGTCCGCTGCGGGCTGGCGCCACGGGCCTGGGCTGCGGAGTGAGCGTGGGGACCGAGGACTTGGGACGCTGACCTCGGTCGGACCCTGGACTCCCCGGGCCTCGGCACCTCGTGCAGGAGACGCCGGGGACCCAGCCGGGAGACCGCTTCCCTTGAGAGGAGGACTGGAATGTGTGTGTGTGTGTGTGTATGTGTGTGAGTGTGAGTGTGTGTGTGTGTGTGTGTGTTTTAGTTAACATTTGATCATCTGTTGTCATCCCCTTGTTTCTGCATCAGGCTGTGTGGGACAGTTTGGCGACAGTTTGCATGTCTGTCACAGTTTGTGAGTGGGTGATTCTGTTTGTGACAGTACTAATGCATGTTTAGACTTCTGAAGACCTCGTAGGGGTGGGCATTGATGCCCGAGGTGCCACGGGCCTCTGGGGAGATGGCTGCCTGTGGGCTGTCTATGCAGGTGCCGGCACAGGAGAGTGTGTGTGTCTGCACCATGCTGTGGGGGCACTTACCAAGTCACATTTGGTGATCATCTGTCGGGGTCCCTATGTTGATGTGTGCTTGTCCCACACTGTCAGTTTGTGATTCTCTCGGAGAACATGACAATGTGACCACGTTATTGTCAAACCCCAGAACCCCTAGGGGGAGGAGACCATCCAGAGTGGCTTTGGACACTGGTGTCCGTGCACCTGTGTGTGCGTTTGCTAATGGAGAGCTCATGGTTCCTGGGTACAGTGGGCAATGGCTGTGGGCGGGCCAGCTCTCTGCTTCCTTCCCTAGGGGCCATCTGGTCCGGAGCTCTGGATGTGATTCAGAGAGGCCTTGATCCTCCTCACAAATGCCCCCTCATTTTCTCCTCCTCTCCTCTCACAGTCCTTTTTTCTGCCAAAGGCAGCAGTGGTTCCTTTGGGCTGGAGTGGAGTTTATGCTTTCACCTTAGGAAGTGAAGTTCTCTTCTTGATCTCTGTGCACGGTGCTGGGACCTTCTCAGAGGGTCTAACACATCATCAGCTTGCCCCGAGGCAGCCTTCCTGATCAGCTCTGCCAGCTCAGACATGGGCAAAAAGAATTGAAAGGAAACTTGTATCCTATGATAACAAAGATGTTGATGTTTACTGTTACTTGGAAATGAGTCATCCATGCTGGTTTACTGCGAGCACAGTCCTTAACCTCTCTGGGCTGTGGTGCCACCAGGCAGGGCAGAGGGCAGATTGTGGACTCAGAGGTTGGAGATGTGAACTGTGGTCTCAGCCCTGTCCCTGATGCCCGTCACACCAGGGGCCCCATTCCTCCTGCCCCCCCCATCTGCCTCAGTTTCCCTGTCTGAAGAATAGAGACACAGTCTCAATCGGGAGTATGAATTCCAGAGGATGAGGTCTCTGCAGGGCAGAGAGTAGCGCATTGGAGCGTTGGAGGGGGTGTGTGGGTGTTGAGGGAGCTTTGGCTTCGACGATCTCTGCGGAGACCTTTTCTCCTCCAGGAGGAGTGGAGGGCATGAGAATTTCTGCGCCTTCAGTGACTCATCACCAGCTGCAGTGGGAAGATGCCCCTGGGCGCAGGCAGGGTGGATCTTTGCTTCACGTTTTTGTCAATGACTCTCTCCACTCTGCCTTCGGACGTAGTGCAGGCTTTAGAGTCGGGCGGATCTGAGTATCGGTCCCAGCTCTGCCGCGAACTGGCTCCTGGACTTGGGTGAATCCCTTAGCCTCTCTGAGCCTCAGTCTCTTCCTCTGTAGAATGGGGTACTAATAGAACCTTCTTCAACAGGGTTTTTGAGAGGTGTCAATGAGTGAGCATATCTAACGCAGCTGGCCTGGTGCCTGGACCCAATAAATGGAAGCTGCCTGTGTGATGAAGAGGAGGAATTTTCCAGATCCTTCAGAATCCAGTGCCTATTAAAGAAGGGAGTGAGGGAAGCGCTTGTCCTAAGGGGGGCCTGAGAGCAGCTCTGAGAGGTCCAGCTTCCTGGCACTGTGCTCTCGAGGGAAACCCTGTGAGCCCCCGCGGTCCCCACACTGCTAAGACATTTCCTGGGCCAACCATCTGGGTGATAACTGTATGTCTGGGTCTCAGTGATTTAATCCTTGTCTACAGCCCCGTGGGATGGGCACGAGAATCCTCAGCATCATCACCTCTGTTTACAGGTGAGGAATCTGTAGTTCTGAGAGAGAGGCAAGGTGACTTGTTCTCCTAAGGTCCCACGACTAGCCCTAGACCCGGAGCTAGACGCCTGGTCTTGTGACTCCAAATCCAGAACTTTTTCCAGGGCTGCCTGGGGTAGGGGACAGTCACAGGATTGCATGGAGGGAGGGGGCGGAATCCTGTCTGTCCTCTTGTCCTAGAATCCTCAGAGAATGATGGAGACATGGACCCTACACGTTCCTCGGCCCATGTAGTTTAGGCTGCTCTCCTTGGGGAAGGTGGAATGAGGGGGGCTGGTTCCCCACTGACAGGGAGGCTAAGGACAGGGCAGCTGCTGGGGCTCAGCTTCTGCTGGCAAAGTCCCCAGGGCAGTGGGGAGAGGGGAACCCAGGATGGAGAAAAGTCCCTGGTCTAGCTAGTTCTCTGGCACCCTGTGCGAGGCCTGGCACAACCAATAAGTGAGTCAGTTGATTGGTTGAATGGCTGACTGACTGAATGAATGAAGGAGTGCCGCCTGTGGGTCCTGAGCTTAGGCAGCTTGGGGGGCAGGGAAAGGTTTGCCAGGGAAGATCCAGAGGACCCTCGTGGCAGGTAAACGGGGCATATAGTGGCAGACTGGGGCTCTGAAGTCACATCCCAGTTCAAATCCTGAGTTCAAAGCCACTTTTTTGCTGTGTATTTGAGCTGGTGCCTTTACTTCTCTGAAGCTCCTTTCTCCACCTGTAAAGTGGGAAGAACAACAGTGCATCTGGGGTTGTGGGATTAAATGAGATAGCGCGTTGTATCTGAGGTTTTTAAGTCCTTTGAGAACAGGGAGGGTCTCTGTGTGAAGGAATGAAAAGAATTAGCTCATTCAGGAAGATTCTATGGGTGCACTGTGCTAGATGCTGACATGAGGAAATGGTGAGGAGGAAAATGCACCATCCCTGCCCTTGTGGGGCTTAGGGTCTGGTGGGAGAAGTAGACATGCATCAGCTGGTCACCCAACAAACTTCAGTTTGTAGTTGTGCTGAGGGCTTTCGCAGAGTGTATGAGGGCTTTCGGATCCCATGATTCGGGGAGGGCCTCAGGTGGTCAGGGAGTTCAAGGAGGCCTCTGAGGAGCTGAAGGATGAGGAGGGGGTAACTAAGTAAAAAGCTGACGAGTCTGTGATGAGAAGCGTGACACAGGAGAGGCTGAAAAAAACAACTCAGGCATCTCAGAATCCCAGATCATGAAACACTCTCCGTTCTCTCCTCCCCCGCACTCTGACCCTCTCCCACTCCATGGACCCGCCTGAGAAGCCCACTCATCCTTCCGGATGCTTGAGAGGGGCTGCTGGATATTGTACTCTTAGCAAACAGCCTGTGATTCCAGAAGCTTCCATGAAGTGTGAGCAGGATTTTTCGGGACATCTGGTCCCCAGGCAGAGCATCACTTCCTACTCTTGCAGTGTGAGTTCCGCCAGCGTCGTGACTTGGGGGGGTCCACAGAGCTGGACAATCTATCCTCCTGGGTGGAGTTGTGCCCTGAGCAGGGCATCTCAGAGTTCCCATTGGAGCCCTCTAGGCAGGGTGGAGTGCGAAGGGCTTAGCAGACCCCGCCATCTCTGATAGGTGACCCCATCTTTGCTCTCCATGGCCTAGAACTTCCTGGTTTGCCTGCCCCAGAATCCAGGTAGGAGAATGGAGTCGATGCTCTTCCACCTGGCCTCTTGTCTGTTCCACAACCTGCCCTGTCTCCCTGCCTCCACCTCTCCCTAATCCGGGTTCCAGCAGGTTCGTACTCTGCTGCGTCTTTTACCCCCGCCCCCGCCCCCCCCCGCCCCCTGCCTCTTCATGACTCTCTTTCAGGCTGTGTGCTGCTCTGCGCCTTGGTCTCTCTCTCTGCCCATGTCTCTTCTGACTCTGCTCCTTGGATCAAATGCTGCCTCTGCCGCCTCCTAAGATCTTTAGCAAGTTGGGTTGCCACTCTGCACCTCAGTTTCTTCGTCTGTACTAGGTGGATCATAGTACCTGCCTCATAGGCAGCCTTGCCCTAAAGATTGGATAAGAGGATGTTGGTAAAGCATCGCGCGCCCTCCCATCCCAGGTGACTGCAGCACAGAGCAGGAGGGGAGGTTGAGCCAGAGAGCATGCACTGGGGCGGGTCACAACAGGTGGATGAGGGGTTCTGGTTGCCCCTCTGTCAACTGCTGAGGTGCCAGGGGTCACTGGAACAGGCGCTCACATGTCGACTTTGCAGGATTGGGAGCTCTGAGTCCCCCTCTTGATTTCAGAGGCCCAACATGAGCGCCGTGTCTTTTGCCTCCCTTCCCTCTCTTGGGGCCCACGGACCCAGGGCCCCTAGGCCAGGAGAGGTCCCAGTGAGGTGACACAGTGCAGTGGTAAAGGTCACCGCTGGGAGTCAGGCAGCGCCAGGTCTCCATCCTGGCTCGATCACATCTTATGGTGGCTTTGGGCAAACAGCTTGACTTCCCTGAGCCTCATTTCTGCATTTGTAAAGTTGTGGTGATCAGGACAGGTTATTGAGAGGATCAAATGAGGCCATGCGTAGGAAGCCTCAATACACACTGTGATTTACCAGCACCCCTGAAGCTGCTCCAGGCGGCAGAGCGGGTGGCTGAGGCCTGACTGTCTGCCTTTTCCACCTTGGGCCCTTTCCCGCTTCCTGCATCGTCTGCACATTTACTCATTCGACAAGCATTTGCTGAGGCTGACCTCTGCCAGACCCATCCAGCCTCAGTTCCCACTGCCCAGACCCTTAGCTTAAGCCTCAGCATGGCCTCTGGCTCCTAACGCAGCCATGCCCCTTAGGACCCCCTGGTTAGTTACAGCTCCAAGGACAATTGCAGCTTCCTGGAGCCGTGGGCGTCCAGGGGA